GGCATGTGGTGCTGGGGGATCGAACTGCGGTCCCTGTGCTTTGGCAAGCTTGTTTCAAGTAGGTGCTTTAGACCACTGAGCCATCTCTCCAGCCCAACACCTGCTTTTTCTTATCACTGTGTGACAGGCAAAATCAGATGTATTAAGTCACTCTCTCCTAGGTTGAAAACTCATATACAAAGGAACTTAAAGCTGTTTTAAGTATATTTACGCTAATCATTGTTTCTACTGATTTTGAAGTATTAAGTGAAGGCTACTGCTTGATAATTGTCATATAATGTCTATTTAATCCAGACTACAGTGGGGAAATACCACTATAAATGTATTGTTTCCAAGTGCTTCATACCAACATTTTTCAAGGACAACATCAAAACACTAGTAACCCTGCTGCTGAGGTTAATCAGAGGGGTAGGCATAATCTCTAGTGGATATCCCCTAATCCTGGCTTCTTGCTCCTTCTCTCTTACACCTTGCCTGCTGGACTGCTAAAATATTATGGAATACATCTTTTGCTATGGATATGTACACGCAGTCAGAAGAAGAACAAACAAACTCCATAAATCTTACTTTTAACCCTTGACAGCAGCACTGTATAAAAGCTTCCAGATCCGCCACGTGTTCTACAACTTCAGAAGCTACAACAGCATCAAAAGTCTCTTCAGTGTCTTGCACAATCTCTTCCAGGGAACATGCTCTATACTCTATCTTCTTATCTAGGACTGGATCAAATGCTTTATGGTGCTGTGCTGTTTTAATGTTTTCCTCCACAGGATCAATTCCAAAAACTGAAGCCCCTAGACGCCCTAGAGGCTAATGGTATGAAAACAATCATCACTCTCAGGAAGAAAGGAGGATATGTTAGTAATAAAAACCTTATCAAAAATAAAAAGATTAACCACGAGGTGATGACAATTCCTGGAAATCACTTACAGGTATGGTTTCATATACCATTTTCTTTAATCTGTATCCATTTTTTTTCTTATCATTATAAGAAGTTTATTCTACAGTGAAATTTATTTGCATTTACAAGCTATAAAAGGAACAAATCAAATTTTCTGATTGTGTACCTTGTAACATAGGAACACATTATTATATTAACACAATATTAGAACTAGGAAAATGGTTATTTCTTTTTGGAAAAATATTAGGCATTTAAAAGCTGTAGTGTTTGGTTGATTGTGTAAGCTTGAGAAGCTAAGAGCTTAACTAAATTGTCTCAGCAATTCCACAACCTGGGGTGTGGAGGCCACACTCTAAAGAGACTCCTCACTTAAAGGAGAATGAGGAAAGAAGGTGGGTCCTGATCTTCCTGAAAGGATCTCCAGGCTTGGCCATCAGCTTGGATGATATCTTCTGACTCTAGCACAGACTCTTGGTTTTCTGACATGGATTCTTAATCTGTATACATTTAAAACTTGTATGTATATGGGTTCATATACCATTTGCTCTAGCTTGTGTAATTGGAAATTTTCTATAAGAAAAAAGCCTTAAAAGTAAGAATAATAACCAAGAAAACAAAAACCTATGTTTACTCGCTTCTAGTACAGTATTAACACACTTGGAATGCAATAAATGTAACACGCCATGTAAAAACAGCTATCATTTCTGAAACGTAAAAACATTCTAAGGAACAAACTGTCTTCAATAGTTTTTTTCTGGGGCTGGGGAGATGGCTCAGTAGAATAAGCACTTTCCAGGCAAGCACAAGGGCCTGAGTTCAATCTCCAGTTCTGAAGGAAAAAAAAGGTTTTTTTCTGTGACTAACCAGAAATATTTTATTTTCTTTTCATTTACAATTTACACACCACATGTTCTTGATCTAAGGCTTGCATTTTCACAGTGGATTGGCTTTCCCACTGTTAGATACAATATCCAGTAGGCACAACTTAAAAAGAGGAAAGGTTTAACATAGTTCACAGCTTTTGGGGGATGCAGTCCATAGTCAGTGGCTCTAAGGCAGGAATATCAAGGTGGAAGGGGTAGCAGACCAAAGGTGCTTAGTTCACAGTTGCCAGGGAGCAGACTGGGGGACAGTACCTACGAGGAATGGGCAAGGGGCACACATAGCACCCAAGCTGTGCCTCCAGGGGCCACCTAGACACGCCCAGAAGTGCCCTTTACAAATCTGCTAGGCACTTCTTTATTGCCCACTACACAAAGTTGACATCAAGATTAAAGGTCACATATACTTTTTGGGTTTCCTGAAACTTTTTAATTCATGTCAAAAGAAACTAGCCCACTGTGAGGTGAAGAACATACTGTATGTGCCATGGCGACTTCACCATGCAGCCAAGGCCTCTGAGAGCCTCACTGCCAACAGGGCTGAGTTTAAGGCCTTGACAGTATCACCTCCCACTGCATCTTTTTTGTTTTGTTTTGTTTTTTTGGTCCTGGGGACTGAACCCAGGGCCTTCACACTAAGCTACATCTCTAGCCTCCCCAACTTTTTCTGGAGCTAGGGTCTCACTAAGTCACTAAGTGACCCAGGTTGGGCTCATACCTGCAAGCCTTGAGCCTTAGCTTCCCGGAGTGCTGGGATTAGAGGTGTGTATCACCACACTCAGCTTGAAATCAACATTTTTGTATTTCCCTAGTATTGCTTGAATATCCTTCAAAGATCAAATTATGATACAGCATTGTAAAAAGAAGTTTCTGTGCTGATAGAACATATAAAATAAAACTGCAAAGCATAAAATTACTACGAACTGATGCAAATATTCTTCACAGGAAGAATGATTACTCTTACAAGTACTCTACACACATAAGAAAGGAGCCCATTTGTAGGCAAAATTCTGTTAGGTTTTACAAATTAAATTCAAAACAACAGCCTATTATTGCATCAAAGAGTGGGAATTCCCTAATTTCTCATGACAGAAAAGTTCACAGAACTGAACTTGGTCATCTGAATGACCTCTATCCTATTTTTAAGAAAATCTTCACAGGCTGGGGAGGCAGCTTGGCAGTCTAAGCCTACCTGGAAGCACAAGGGTGTGGCTTTGATCTCCAGGGTACTGGCTGCTGTGCCAGCCCTAGAACCCCAGGTGCACCCTGCTGGCCACAGAAACTAGGTGTGGAGGCACATGCCTGTAATCCCAGCGCTGGGGAGGCTGAAACTGGAGTATCACTATGAGTCTGAGTGGTGTAATGAGACCCTGTACCAAATAAATAAATAAATAAATAAATAAATAAATAAATAAATAATTTTTTTAAAAAGAATATATTTTTTAAAAAGAAAATCTTTAGTACAATTTTCCTATCTATCTATCTGTCTATCCATCCATCCATCCATCCATCCATCCATCCATCCATCCATCCATCCATCCATCCATCCATCCAGATCCCAAGCATTCCTACTGAGTTATGTCTCCAGCATTTCTTTGAAAATTTTGAGACACAGTCATGCTAATTTGCTAAAATGCCTGGGCTGGGCAGATTTGGGATGCTCCTGTCTCAGCTTCCTAGAGTGCTGGAATTTTAGGTATGTACCCTCCCAGCTTGAAAATTTTAGATTCCTTTTTTAGATAAACTCTTAGAAATATTTTAATTTTAAAGACATGCATTATATGTATAACAACAAAAATATAAACACAAAAAGATTTAAATCAACATTAATCAATTAAAAGAATATTATTTGTCAAAATGGTAAGTGAAGCATAAGTGTACTTCTCAAATATTTTTCCCAGTTAATGGCAAAAAAGCTGTCCCCCACTTACTTCAGTTAATAATCCACCACCACAGCCAACGTCAAGAATCTTCATCCCAAACAAAGGTTTTCCAGGATGGTGATTAGCAACTGTTTTCAAAAGATTATCTCTTCAAAAGATAATAAAGATAAAAATAATTTTACCAATGAAAAATAATAAAAGTACACAATTTTGATGAAATGTCAATCATTACTTCAACTAATTTTTTTTTTTTTCTAAATGCCATTCCTTGTACTGCCCTACTGGTTCATTTTATGTTCTGTCTGAACAAATATATCACAGTAGTTCAAATGGAGTTCTCAAACTAATCAAAATCACCTAAAAGGTTGTAGAACACTAACTGCTGATTCCACAGGTAGAATCTGAGAATATGCATTTCTGATGATTCTCAGGTTGATCATTGATTTTGCTGATCCGGGGCCTACACTTTGATAAACAGTTGTCTAACCTAAAAAAAACAACATTGCTGCTTTTCTCTGACTTAGTATTTGTTATGGTTTGTGCCCAGCTGTCCCCCCAAAGCCTCATGCAGCAATGGGGTGGACTTCTAGAGTTTGTGGGTAATTCATGATCCAATGCTGGGATTACGGGTGTGAGTGCTGCTGGGATTGTGGGTGTGAGTGCTATACCCAGCCTGGGGTGGATAGCCTAACTGCAGTATAAAGAAGGGAGAGAGATGAGTGTGGGAGAGAGCTTCTGCTCTATCCTGCACCAGCCCGCTGCTCCAGGCTCAGGCCCGCTGCGTGAGAGAGTCACTTCCCCGCGCTCTCCAGACCTTCCCCTCCCAGCCAGACCCAGCACAGCCTGAACTTCCGCCGTGCCTTGGGCCCTCCATATCCAGCGGACCCCAGGACCTGCGAGTGTGGGGGAGAGCTTCTGCTCTTTCCTGCGCCAGCCCACCGCTCCAGGCCCAGGCCCACCACATGAGAGAGGCACTTCCCCACGTTCTCCAGACCTCCCCTGCCCGGCCAGACCCACCGCAGCCTGCCCTCTGAGTGAGAACTTCCGCCGCACCCTGGGCCCTGCATATCTGACCGACCCCAAGCCCTGCGAGTGTGGAGAAGAGCTTCTGATCTGTCCTGTGCCAGCCCGCCGCTCCAGGCCCAGGCCCACCGCGTGAGAGTCACTTCCCTGCATTCTCCAGACCACTCCAGACCACCCCCGCCCAACCAGACCCAGCGCAGCTTGCCATCTGAGTAAGAACTGCTGCTGTGCTCTTGGGAGTCCTGCAGATCCACCAAACACAACACTGGTGAGTGTGTGGGAGAGCTTCTGGGCTCTCTCGCCCCGCTTCTCATACACCTCCAGACCCAGCCCAGATCTAGCATACAGGCTTGAGGTAAAACCCTGCAGCTAAAGTCCCCACAGTGAGAGACTAGGGTCAAATCCACACAGCTAATCCAGGATCAGATCATCTTACCAGAGGTGTACAGCAAGCCTACCTCCAAGGGCAACAACAGTAAGGAGCTGAGCACAGTAGCCTAACCCAAGCCAGGCACAACTGCATGAACAGAACTTGGTATATCAGTTCCTGAATTTCATTAAGTGATAACATAATTGCACC